GGGGCCGCCGGGAAGCACCAGGCCGCGCAGGGAGAGGGGCCGGGCAGGGGCGGCTGGCGGCGGCGCGTGCCGAGATGCGGCTATTTAGAGCCTGGCAGCAGGGACGAGCTGGTGACAGCGACCTGCATCCTGCCCAAGGAGAGCGGGGACACGGGGACATCGGCATGTGGGGACATGGAGATGACGAGACACAGGAACACTGGGATACAGGAATGTGGGGACACAGGGACAGGGGCTGCCGCTACCAATCTGCTGAAGTCCTTGTCCTCCTCCAGCACGCGAGGAGGAGCTGGATGCAGAGACCCGTCCTGGGGACTCAGCCGTGGTGGGCGAGAGCCACCAGATGCAGCGGGGACAGAGCGGTGTCCCCCGGCCCAGCAGGACCGGCCCGTCGACCCCGCACACGTGTGGCCACGGCCACTGCGCCGTTGGTCACAAAAGGGGCTTGTAAAGCAATAGTGCAATTTCACTTCTTGTTAATATAATGAGAAATGAAACCTGCTGATTGCAGCTGCTGATTGCAGTACTCCCAGGGAGACCGCACTGCATGGCTTATATCACAGACTGCTGATTAAAATAAAGCTCATTACAAAATACAAAGCAGTCTATTTTTAAGCAAAACACAGAGCACTGTGGTAAAATCAACACCCTCCAGCAGACAGGTGGGCCATCAAGTCCACGAGCCCTTGTGCAACCCGTGCTGCCCTCTGATCTGACCCTTTCAGGCAGTCTAATTAGTCGAATGGGAGCAGAGCAGAAAGAGGACTTGATTAGCAGGGTAAGGGAGCTGCACTTGTGTCTTTGAGGCAGAAAGGCGGCCGCGCTCTCCAGCCCCCCTGCCCCGAGCTCCGCACAGATCCGCTCTGCTCCGTGGAGCCGCTGGGGCGCAGGGAGGGGAGCGCAGCGGTTTGGGCCAGCACTCGTGTCCTTGGCCCTTGGGCCGCTCCTGGGACTGTCCCCGTCTCTGTGCTGGGCAGCCAGGACTGCCCGCAGCAGCGCAGCACGCGGAAAGCGGGGATTCCTTGGATGCAGGTATCTGGATGTGGGGACAGGGATGGCACCTCGGCCTGCAGCACCCGCAGGGACCGTTCAGTGGCACCGCCACAGCCCCGATGAACAGTCTGTGGTGAGCTCCCCTCCCTGATCCTTTCTGCATTTTGCACCAGTAACAAACCTCTTTCCAAACAGATTTCCGGGGGTTCTGCGTGTTTACAGCTCCACACGTGTGGGACGGGCTTTGCAGAGCGCCCCAGGGCACTGCTGTGACTTCAGGGGGGTCTCGGCACTGCGCTCAGCCCCCACCGATCCACACGGAGCCGTTCCAGAAATCCCCCTTGGACATTAGCAACGGTCCCTGAGCAGCCCCTGGCCCCGCTGCTGCCAGGCGTCTTTCCGAGCGCCTCTGCAGCACCGCTAGCTCTTAACACGAGCAGAGCCCGGGCTGACCCGCGCTGCCGGCACGCACACAGCACGGGGCGGCTTCTGCATTGGAGTCTTCATCTCCACATTAGGGTTTGCTGCAGCTGGGCCTGCCCCAGGCAGCGGGTGGAAGGGCTGCCCTGAGCTGCTGCTCCCTTGATTTTGTCTGGGATGTTCGGGGGGTGGTTGCTCTAGGGGGATGATACCAACCCATGGAGGGACATTTCACACAAAATGAAACACACGGCTGAACGTCCTTGCGCTTACTTGTAAAAAGCCTGGTTTTCTATCCCGCACTTCCAGAGGTGCTTGCAGGCTTCTGGTGTTGGAGCAAAATAGGTCAGGACGATTTTCTTTTCCTACAGAGAAGGAGAGGAAGCCGGTGCAGAAACGGGTGAGCAGAGGGCAGCACGGGGAGATGTGGAGGGTGCCGGGGCTGCAGGAGCTGCAGGGATGAGCGGGAATCCTCCTGCAGGACCTTGGGAACGCGGCTGAGCCCACGGAGCCGCCCGGCCGTGCCGTCGAGCCCATGTACCCACTGCCCCAGCCCCTCCGCGCTCCCCAGCGCCCGGGAACGCGTTGGAAAGGGACCAGGAGCCGCAGAGCAGCAGCGCGGCCGAGGCTGGGAGGGATCCCCCAGCACAGCCCGGGGTGACGGCGCTGCACGGGGATAACCACGGGCACAATATCCAGCCCTAAACCCAGCACGTTGCTCTGGACATCCCATGGACCTGCGAGACACCCACGGCTTCTGCTCTGCAGACTTCTGCTACACCAAAGCGCCGATGTTTTAACCCGAGAATTTGCGTCTTTAGCCTCTCGGGCCAGGCTGCCGAGCTCCGGGGCATGGGAGCACGGACGGAGCCGGAGGCAGCGGCATGGGGACAGCACGGGCCACCGGCACCGTGGGCCTGGCTACCCCTTCACGCTGCTGGCCTGACCCCCGTGTCCCAGCAGCCGTGACGGCACTTGGGAAGCGGCACCGCTGCCGGCTGCCTTCCTGCCCAGTGCATCAGAACACGGCTAATACGTTGAGGCAAAAGATAAACACAGGGGTCAGCAAGGGCCGAGGTCAGAAAATGCACTCACCTCTTTCTGACTTACATATAAATAGAAAGTCTTTCCTTCAAACTTCATCTTGGTCACCTCATTCCTGCAAGGAGAAGAGCAGAGCGTGTCCTGGGCTGCGCTGCCCGCGCCCCAGCGCCCCAATGCCCGGCCCCGCAGTGGCCACGGGCGCAGCTTTAGCCAAATCATCCGTTGGAAGCTGGGAGCTAGGAGGTATTCTAGGCCGGGTTTCAAAACCACATTTTTTTCCATTAACGCTTGTAACCATCTTCTCTGGGTAGGGGGAGGACAGCGAGGCCAGGAGCGGCGCCGGGGCCACGCACGGGACAGCGGCGGCTCCTGGCACCGTGGCCCGCACGCACCGGGGCTGCCCCGTCCCGCGGGGACGCACGCGCCCGCACCCCGGCACCCCGGCACTCACCACTTGATGAAGTGAACCCTCTTGTTGCCCTGCAGGACCACGAAGCCGAAGGGGGTGAAGGCCAGGAAGGCCGCGTTCCCGGACACGTCCTGGAGGAGAGAGCGGCTCCGCGGCGCGCGCTGCGCGCGGCCGTGAGCGCAGGGCCAGCCTGGCCGGGCGGCCCCGGGCTCCTCCGTGTCGGCGCTGCCACCAAACGCGTTCCTGACGGTTTCACGGAGGCCGCGCAGGAACCCGCAGCAGCACCACGGAATAGCCCCGTGCAGGCGGATGGATGGGGAAACTGCGATACCCCCAGCGCCAGCACCGGTACCGATTCACGGGTAAGGGACAGCAGTGGAGACAGAGAGTGCCCCACGTACCCGCGAGCCTTTCGCTGTTAATTAAACTGCAAAAAGGTAAAACCTGCTACCGGCTCCCCAGCCCTCTGCCCGGCTGGCGGCAGCGCAGCACTTCAACCACAGCAACTTTAATTTAATAAGGAATTTAATGGTAACAGCTGGACCCCGGGAGGCGATGGCTAAGCGCACGGGTGCTCGCACAAGGAGCACGCATGGCCTGGAGCACAAACCCACACCTGCGCACACACGGCCGCACACACACACCACGAGCACAGCTCCGCTTGCTCCACTCGCTTTCCTGCAGCCATCGAGGCTCTCCTGGGATTGGGGGCACATCCCAGTCCTGCTCCTGGTCCCTCGTCCTGCAGAGCCTCAGCCACAGCCTGTCCCCTAACCCGGACGACAGGGATTGTGCATGGATCACGTTGGAAACAGCAGCATCGCGGTGCAAGCGGGGGCTCAGCGAGCACTGGAAGCCCCTAAGACGGCGCAGAAACAAGGGCAGTTCCTCCACGTCAAACCGCTCTCTGCTACGGAACCGGAGCCACCATCTGTCATCGTCCCCGCAGCAAAGGCCCTTCTCGGACCAAAGGACATCGCGGGTCTCCGTCATCGCCCCCGCTCAGGCCTGGGGCTCCCCTCGGCCCCGGTGCTCCCTGCTCCGAGCAGGAGGCAGGAACGCCGGGTTCGCATCCCGTGGGATGCGCACGTCTCGGCTGCCGAGCTCGCTGCCCCGCGACGGCTCCCGAAATCCGTGCCAGGCTGCGCGGGGGGTGGTTCTCCTGGATACATCTCCAGGATCCGAGGGGTGAGCAAATTGGTTTCAAATCCAGATTAGATCAAAAATCCATCTTAATCTGCCCAGGGCCAGGAGCAAGGAGCCCTGAACCTCAGTACAACATCCTTCATGAAACGAGACATAAATCCCCAAGTAAGGAGGGCTGAAACGCCCTGCAACAAATCCTGAGACATAAGGAGGTGCTGAGGACGGGGACGGTCCCTGGCGCCCTCGGGAGGACGGTCACAGCTGCACAAAGGGACAAGGGGACCTGGGCGCTGCTGCAGCCTTGGCCAGAGCTCTGCAGCTCCCCATGGCCATGAGACGTGAAGGACATGAAAACCACGATTAGCTAAAAAAAAATGATGCGAGGGGGATGCTAAACATAGAAGGGACCGCGGGACACGGTCTGCATCAGTGCGATCCAGCCCAGCACTTCTGAAGTGTTTTAAATATTAACAGCCCATCTGTGCTCGCCAGCTCCTGCCCGGCACCGGCTGGGCCACTCTGTGCAGCGCAGCCCCGCTCCGGCGCGGAGGGTGCACCGAGGACACGGGATGCACCGGGATGCAGGATGCACCAGGTACACGGGATGCACTGAGGACACGGGACACACCAGGGATGCAGGATGCACCGGGATGCAGGATGCACCAGGTACACGGGACACACCAGGGATGTAGGATGCACCGGGATGCAGGATGCACCAGGTACACGGGATGCACTGAGGACACAGGACACACCGGGGATGCAGGACGCACCGGGAGTGCAGGATGCACCAGGTACATGGGATGCACTGAGAACATGGGACACACCAGGGATGTGGGATGTGCTGTGGACACAGGGTGCGATGGGGTCACAAGACCCATAGGGACACGGGGGGACAGGGAGCCTGCTGGCAGCCCCGCACACCCTCCCCTCGGCACCTCGGAGCTCTCTGCTTCCCAAATGCAACCCCGAAGGGACACTCAGCACCCAGCGAAGGTTTCAGCAAAGCCTCGTGCTCGGGCATCGCTCGGGAGCCGCTGCTGCCCCTTCAGCTCGGAGCGGGGCCGAGAGCAGCAGGAGGGACCGAGGTGCCCTGCGGACTCTCCTGCCCTCCAGCCCGGCCCAACTCACTGCAAACCCGGGCGGCCCGAGCGGACCCTCCTTGCGGTGCATCCCCGTCCACATCCCACATCCATCTGCGTGCGACAGGATTACAAGGGGCCACACGGAGCCGGCCGCAAGGACATATGCAGTCAATAAAGAGCCTTTCAAACAGCAAACTAGATTACAGGCTGGGGAGGAATATCGAGTCAGACTGTCTGTGGAGATTAATATTTGCTGCCTTCTCAGACTCATTACTGACCCTGTTACTGCCTCCAAATTGCAGGGTTTTGCAGCAGATGACTCGCTGGTGTCCTTTGCAGCTGTCTGCATGCAGAGACACTTCCTGATAGCTCCTTATAGCTTCCTTACATACTCCTATAGCTTCCTTACCTTCCCTTGCAGAGGGATTTCACAGCAGTCCTCACTTCCCTCAATGCACCTATTTGCATTTAAGCACCCAAGTCTGGCTCTCGCCCCTGGCTGGACCTGCTGCAGGTGCCAGGTTGCTGCCTTGGCGGCCGTCAGCGCTACCCTTGCAGCTCGCTGCCGGTGATGGGGAGAAATCTAACCCAAAAAACCCACTTTCCGAGGAGCTTTACCTTGCAAGGGTGCGGGTCAACTCCGTAGGTCTCCAGAGTCTGGGCTTTCCGTAGAAAATTTAACTCCGACGTAGCTGGTGTCTGGCCACTAGCAGAGGCAAAGGAAGGAAGCGGGAAGCCGTGAGATCCAGGAGAGCCTCGTGGGCTCCGCGCGCCCGGCCCGGGGACGCCGTGGTGTCCCGAGGAGCGCGCCCGCGTCCCCAGCGCGAAGAAACCCAGGGCTCGAAAAGCGACGGGGTGGGACCGGCCGCTTTCCACTCGTTGCAGCGCAGACCCGATCACGGCGCAGCGCGAGCGGCCTTGGCGGAGCCCCTCGAGGGGCCGTTCTCGCCGCCGGCGCGCGGGGTGAGCTCGCAGCGGGACCCGGCCTCACCTCAGCTCCGTCTTGTGGATCTCCGCGATTTTCCTCTCCAGCTTTTCCGAATGCTTCGGGAAGAACTGGAACTTGGAGCTGTAGCCTTCCGGGTGCTTGCCCGGGTCGTAGTCCCCAATCTCCGCTGGCGAAAGCAAGCACAGGTGACAGACAGGTGAATAACGGGTGGATATGAGTGACCGCGCTCGCTGCAGAGATGCGATTCCCGAGGGCGGCAGGAGGCAGCGGGACACGGGGAAGCCGCCAGGATGCCGGCGGCAGCTCCCGCAGTTGGAG